AATTAAGGATGTGGCTCATATATTATTATATTATTTGAAAATAGGGATTTAATTAAAAGATTAAATTTAAGGTTGTCATTTAGTTCAAATTAGGTTTGATTTGAGGGGCTCTTAGCATATTACCCCTACTAATTAATACATATGTGTATAATAATAATAATAATAATAATAATAATAATAATAATAATAATAATAATAATAATAATAATAATAATAATAATAATAATAATAATAATAATAATAATAATAATAATAATAATAATAATAATAATAATAATAATAATAATAATAATAATAATTATTATTATTATTATTATTATAATAATAATAATAAATTGTGATGTAATTTAATTAATTAAAATCTAAACATGAATAATTATATCAATTTTCGTATGATAAAATTGGGACTATTTTTCCAAATATGCTATAGAATTAACATTAAAAAAATATAAAAAAGAAGAAACAAAATCAGTGGCAGTGAATTTTTGGTGGACAAATCCTTATCGTACGACCTTTACGAGTGGACCACATTTTGAGGTGTGAAGAAGAGAGGATGATACACATTTAGGGTAAATTACAACCAACTCCCTGTAGTTTGCTATACTAATTTTAAGGTCATGTAGTATTGATAATTACAATCATCTCTAGAAAATATTAGCATGAGGGGTGGTTGTAATAACGAATACAACAAAGACTTTAATATTATTATATCACTAGCATTTTTCCATGTGTATGAGCGAAGAAACCATGACTTTTCAATTGGCAAAATTAGAAGTGATAGTAATGTAATAGGCTTCAGGGGATGTTTGTAATTATCAAAACCACAAGGACCTTAAAGTTATTATAGTATACGTCAGGATTGATTAGAATTTATCCTAATTAATTGGCAACATACTCCCTCCATTTCAAATTACCTGGAAATACAACATGCATTGAATCATTTCATCTCCTAAATGCTACATCAAATAAAATACACCAAACACGACGTTCACGGTACGCGCATACGTAAGCACGCACGCATTTATATAGATGCGCGTATATTTAAAAATAAATAAACAAATAAAGATTATTTCATATACACTCTACCAAGTATATAGCATACATTCACCATCTCATCAGTTCATCTCTTACAGTCAAAGCCAAAAAAAAGAAAAGAAAAAAAAGGAAGACACAAATCAAAATACATTAGTACAGGATAACAACCTTTTGCATCAAAAGAAACTATAAACCCTCAAACTCCGATATAAAAACTCGACACGAAAACACCAAAACAAATCCAACCAAATCGAAAAGGGTAAAAAAAAAAAAAAAAAGGTCTTCCACCCGCAATGATTAACCGCCTCTTTTAATTATCCCTGTCGCTAAAATCTACACTCCCACTGTGTGAGCTGCTCGCGTTTCTACTGTGCAACGAGAGGCTGCGAATATGGCCGTTGAGAGAAGACGCATCTGCTTTGTTCTCCTGAAAGAACTTCTCTCGTTCGACGTGTTTGGCAGGTGGCGGTGGAATCGAAACCCCCAATTTACCGATATTATTATGATTATTATTATTATTGGGTTCTTGATTCAACTCCGCATGCAGTGGCTTAATCGTAATTTCTGGCTTGGGCTCCACGTTTGGTGGTCGTACATGTACAGGGAGACGTTCTTGGTGAGGCTCCACGATAAGTGGCCGTACAGGTTCTCGTTGAGCCTCCACGGTAAGCGGCCGTATGAGCGGGCGGTGGAGCATTTCTCCAGGAACGGGTAGGCCCCTCAATCCCAATGGTCGATCTGTATGGTGGTCTTCGTCTTCGGGTCTTACGCAAGCTTTTCCTTTTCTTATCCTGTTCAACACACAAAGTAGTATCGGTAAATATAATCATCACAGAACTTTGACGAATATCTACAACCATATCAAAATAAAGCACTAATACAGAAAACGAGCCGACTTTTTTTTTTTTAAAGACACCCTACCCTATAAAATAAAATAAAAAATAAAAATCCCGAAAGATTCGATGAATACCTTCTGAAGAGTTGTTCAGCTTCTTCTTCTTCCTCTTCCTGTATATGGTCGATGTGATTTGAAATGGACATTGTGCTGCCGGCTAGAAGAGCGTCGTGCCTCCGTAACACTCTATCGAGCTGCTCGTTAAGCTCAACTGCTCTTGAAATGACACTTTCGTCCCTATAAAGATCAGAACTTTAATACCACATATCAACTGTAAATCTTCCAACAAATCACAAATTCTTGCATCAACAGAAAATGGGTTACGTCACCACATATAAATGATGCTACGTTAATCTTATTGACTAAGAATCTACGGTGAGAATCACTAACCGAGAAGTAACCGCGAGATGCATTACTCGTTGCTTTTGAAATGAACACTGCTCCACAAGATCTAGTGTGAACTCATCCTTTGCCCCCTGGACAAAAAAAAAATATAAATAAATAAGTTGGAGTGATACTCGAACGAGTTAATAATTCAAATATCCCAAAATTCGGTTGGGAAATCAGTAATGAGATGTGTTTTAATTCACGCATTCTGAACATGAAATTATGATATCCACGGCCCCGTCTATTGACTTTTAGTATAGGATTCGAATTCCAGCACAAAAAAAATAAAAAAAATCGAGCCTTTTTTCTCTCTTTTATTAAGCGAGCTTCCCGTTTGGTATATCTATCCTCTATCCAACTATCTATCATACAGATAATGCAAATCGAGAGAATCGATCTTATCCTTGTCAACAAAAGAGTACAATTTAAAGAGTGAAAATACCTCTCGGTTTTGTGTATCGATAGAATTTAGGACATCCCTCAATACCTCCAATGCAGTTCCGGCTTTCTGAAGAATACTGCACAAAAATTGTGACTTGTCAAAAAACGAGATGAATAAAAAATGAAAAAACGGAGTAAGAGAATGTGCGTCTTTCTTCGTCGTTTCAGGGAAGTACACATTACATAACGTGATACCTTGAATCAGAAGAAACACTCTGAGCCTGTGGTTGCGGTACGTTTCTTTCGGAATGAGGAGCAGTAGTAAATTCCTTGTCGGGTGGAATATACTTATCCACGCTTGTTGTAGAATTAGGTTTCGGAATATTCGGAGTCCTCTCGGGAAATTTCACTCCTGCACTCTGCAAAACGGTATTCAATTTTAGCCACTGATTAGAATGATTGTTTAAACGAGAAGGTATTGGGTAATGGTGGAAATTGGACCAGAATTTCTGAATTTCACCGGTTCCAATCCGAATATTTCCGGTTTTGGAACCAAAGTTTTCATTCTGAATTCCGAAAGTTCTGATTTTCGTTTTCCGACTTTTTTTTTCGAATGGAGTTGGAATACATAATAGATTCCGATTTCCGATCCAATTGTAGTTTCCCAAATTATTTCCGAAAATTCCATCTTTTTTCTGAAAATTACATTTACAACTTCAATACTATTATGTATTTTATATTAAAAATGGAAATTATGAATTCCGACGATTCCTATCCAAAAATTTCTTATTTTGGAACACGTTTTTTTCATTCCAGTTACCGAAATTCTGATTTCCTTTGATTTTTTTTTTGAACGGAATTGGAATTAGTTTAGCACCACCGAAAAAAATTGGAAATTTTATGAAGGTGCTAATTCCGATCCGTCGGATTCCACCCCTACAAATAGTACATAAATAATACAGAAACGGAACTTTTCGACCCCATCAAATACTTTCTACTTATTTATTGCAATAAATATATTCTCGATCCAAGTGACGGTAAAAAAAAATAGTTTGTAAGAGAGCACCTACCACCAATTCAAAGTATGAATTATAATATTGAGGGAACCTTCCGGAAGCTCCACCAACAGAAGTCTGAGCAGCATCCAATAGCAAAAATATCTTCTCCCGAACAGGAAGATCCGACTGTAAAACGAGACGCCGGAATATTAAATTAAAGTATTTAAATTTAAAAAAGCCGATAACTGAGAAACAGATAATCGGAAAATGCCCACCTTCTTCTTAACTATTTTCACAAGTATGGGCAGAACTCCCGTATCTATAACCTGCTTATGTACAGGCTCTCCGATATTATTCATCAACATCTCCAGCAACTGTTGAATTAAATCAACGGTGTTTGTCGAGAGTTAGTGAGGTGAATTATTTTAATATTAATATTTCCAACAAATTAAAGGAATCGAGACGAAAATCATCCACTCAAATGAAAGTATTTCCATATATATATATATAAACACTCACCATAACGGTCAAGAGTTGAGTGTTCGGGCTTTTGCTTCCGAGGCGTTTTTTAATAGCTTTCACAACATCTTTAGCTTGTCTGCATAATTAAACAAACCAATTATAATTTAAAGGCCGATATAATATAAATAAATAAATAAAAGAGACGTTTTGCGCAGAAATTTCCATGCAAATATGAAATTAAGACCGGACTGTAATAAACGACCCGAAAAATCGCGTGACTAAACAACATATGGCAAAAAAGGTAGTAAAAGTTACCTGTGATCACGTGCAACTAATTCGCAAATCTCGATGTTTTTTGTCCAATCCATTTCGGTGAGTTTGTCGCTCGTTGCAGAACTAACAAGTTCAGAAGCCATATTTACAATACCTTCTGTAAGGACGAATTACAAAGCAATCAACATGTATGAAAAGTTTATTACTTTGACAGAAAGCAACAAAACTAATAAAGGCCTATCATTCAATCGAGAACTTGCCGGTCAATCGAGTCAACATTTATATTCCGTATTCACCACGTGATATATTCTCTCAACATTGGTCAATCGAATTCCCGATTATTGCAAAATTAAGCGACAAGTTAACTAATTTGAGCAGCATAAGCCTTTTTTCTTTTCAACTTTTTTTTGTCCGATGAAAGAGAGGTTTCGAACTAGTTGCAATTCAACCGTTTTAAGTCGGTACCCCCAAAAAAAATTCTACCGAAATTAAAAAACACGTGCCCGCCACTCGATTCTTGTCGACTCTCACCGATTGAGTAAACGAACTTTGATAGGCTCAAAATCAGCAAGATCACAGCCAATCAAACATAATACACATGTTTACACACACACACACACACACACACAGATAGGCTCAATTGTGCTCCATACCTTTTTTTTCAATTCTCAAGCAACTACAAATTCAAGAACACCATAATCAGCTATCTTTACTCATATTCATTTTTCCTAATAATTTTCTCAAATTCAAAAAATAAAATAAAAATGAAATGGGTTTATCTCTTTCTTCATAGCCAATCATTCCCCAAAATTTAAAATTAAAAAAAAAAAAAAAAAAAAAAAAAAAAAAACTCTTCTTTACATGTTACAGCCCATTTAACTTCAGATCTCGAAGAAACTCACAAAATTCTTGAGACAAAAAACGCAATGCAACCTAAACAAAACGACATCGGACAATCCAACACAAAACTGAAACTAAACACATAGCAATGAAATCAATAATCAAGAAAATTAAAAAACCCACCTGGGTAAAAAACCAGCAGCAAAAAAGCAGCGAAAGAACAGAAGCAGAAGCAGAAGCAGAAGCAGCAAATCAAGTTTAGTATGTGTGTATAGCTGTAATCATTGATGACACGTATATACAACTGTATACATATGTGTATCAATCATAAAGAAGGGTAGAAATTAATTCTAGATTCTCTCTGCTTACTGTTCTTTTTTTTTTTCTTTTTTTTTTTAATTTAATTTGCTTTACGGGACTTTATATTCTTTTCATAATGTTGAACTTTTTCTCCCACCTATTTATTTATTTTTATTTAATTTAATTTGCTGTAGTAAGAAAATTAATATAGTGATAGCTGTTGAATGAGAGAATCCTCTGTTTGGAGTATTTCCTTATATATTCACTGCGCGTTTTTTTTTTTTTTTTTTTTTTTAAATAATATATTTCCTAGCAGAGGTGAAAGGAAAGGGGCGGTGTGTGTGTGTGGATCAATAGCGGCGCTAATTGTACAAGAATGGCTAGCGGCACTCCACTCATTTAATTTTGGACGAAAATACCCTTACTAAGGATGGTTTACCATTTATGATTATTCACATCCGAATCCAGCGTTTTGAAAAAATAGAAAACAAACTACGGCCACCCGTGAGGTAAGGTCAAATTACGATAAAAAAAAAATCTCTTCTGTTTCGTTAATTACAGGCATCCCCCTTCTTTTAATATAATAAAATTTATGTAACTCGATTATTTACCGAATCAAATCGTATATTTTGGTTTGGTAAACAACATGAAATGTTGACGTACCGAAATTTCGGTACAATTTTACCAAATGAACATCTCTAAATGTATCTCTGAAAGGGGTTTTGTTGTAAGAGAATACATAATTGTCGGTGGCTGTAATTACCCAAAAATGAGGGGGTTTCGTAATTTGACTTTACCTCACATGGTGGCCGTAGTTCCAATTCAGTTCCAAAAAAAATCGTGAAAAATAGGAAATCATAGCTTCAGAAATTGGAACGAAAAACCTTGTTCCAAAATCAGAAAAAATTTGGATCGGAATCAGTGAAATTCTGAATTTTTCAATTTTTGCTCACCTTAAATATGAAATACATATTTTTTTGTGTTTTAACTGTAATATTTGGAAAATAAATCGGAATATTTTTGGCACTTTAATCGGATCAGAACCCGAAATCTCATATATATTCCAATTTCAATCCAAATTATTTTGAAAAAAAATGGAATCGGAACAAATTCGGAATGAAAAATATTGTTCCAAAATTGAAAATTTTCGAATCAAAATCAACGAAAATCGAAAAGTTCATTCCAATTTCCACTCGTAGCCAGCTAAATGTTGATTTGTTTATGGTGTATTTATTGATAGCATTGATATCTCTAATTTTGAATTATAAGTTTCGTTTTAAAAAAAATATTTTTTTTTTTTGAGAAAAGAAAAATTTCATATCAGAGAATTGATTCAACTATTACAATGTTTTGAATTTCCAGTGGCAAAGAACCGGAAAGAGTCGGATCTTTAAAAGACAACTGAGCTAAAGCATGAGCAGCACCATTCCCATTCCGACGTATATGGAGAGCAGAGATAACCTCGAAATATGGTATAATAGCATGAATATCCGCAATAAGATTTCCAAACGGCGATCGATCCTCGTCCTCGCCTTCAATCGCCTTGATGACCACTGTATGAAAAAAATATATTAAGCTGCCCAAAGTTCATGATTTGAGTCTTCTCAAAAAAATATTTATATTTTAGTGTATATTTTAATAAATAAAGTATATATATACTAGTACACAGCCATGTGGCGAAAGAAAAAAGAAAAGAAAATGAAAAAGAAAAGCTGCTAAATTCAGTAGGACGGTGAGATAACTTGTGAACTGTGCATAGCCCATATGCAAACGTGGCAGCAAATGAATGGCCCGTGAGAAAATAACGCGACAAACAAAGCGGCACAGATTAAAAGCGTCTCAAATGATTGAACCCCATGTGTCCATACGGGACCTGCGAGTAGTCGATCATAGTGTACTCGAGGCGCGTGTGTTAAACTAGAGAGAGAGAGTAGAGAGAGAGAGAGTCCGATAAGGATGCATCATCATACATTAGATTTAGGGCTATCAATCTTGTTGGTCCATTATTACCAAATTTACTTGATTATTATGTCTTCTTATGGCTTATAGAAAATCTTAATTAAAATTATTTTATTTACATTTAAGATTTGCAAAGAAAAATATATATATAGAAAAAATGATGTTTTCAACCCCAACAAGACCCGAGTTAACTGGACTATATGTTGGGCGAGGCGTACTCGACCAAAATTCAGCTAACTCGAGTTGGCTCAAACACATGAAAAGATGTGAAAAATATTTGTCGAGCGCTCGAGTTCTAAATAGAAGAACGCTATAATGTTCAACTATAAATATTCTTAACGTACAATTTCATTTACGTGATATATTGCCTATAGGTGCTTGTAGATAGCTTACCGCCATTAAGTTGTTTTAGAGCATGATCGACCTCTAGACAAAATATAGGTTATACGTGCCACACTGATTTATACCATGGGTGAAATACACCCGGCAAACTTATGCAATTCATATGCACACATACCTGCACCGGTGTATGTAAATTAACGATAAAAAACTCACACAAATAACCGTGCAGGGGCACCTACATCATTCCTAGCCAACTCTAAACTCTACAACCCGTGAGCTAACTAACCCAATCGATGAAACATCATATATAAACACACGACACACACAAACATGTGTGTGTGTGCGCGTGTGTGTGTGTGTGTGTGTTTGTAAAGGGACTCAGTTATGGGCTCCTTTAATTATGCTCAACCTTATCTCTAAAGGAGCAGTAGCACTTGTTGGTCTATTGATAAAGTAATTGCATATCAATTAAGGTGAAACTTAGTATTGTTAGGCAATTCAATTATTTCTCCCAATTGATATAATTTACTTTAAATTGAATCCAATCGAGCAGTCGAGTACGAGATTGCTGGGATTACATCATAAGAATTTCTTTTTTTCTTTTTCAAGTCAATCCATCTAGTGTACTCACCATCTTAATATAACATGATATTTATTGGGATACGATTACGATTTCAATAGAAATAATACAACTTGTCATATGTACCTATTGTTCTCAAATATTAGTAAATATCGTTCAATATCGCGGTATGGTATGATAATTACAATATTTGTTTTGGGGTTGATTTGTCGATTTTCAGCACATTTAAGGGTGATTTGTGTGATTTTCAGCACATTTTCTAACAATGATCATGTGTTTTTTATTTGTATTAACTATTGTTTTTCTTAACTAAGGTGATATGCATAATGATATGCTGATTGGGCCAACCCAATAGATCTACAAGTTATTTACCTACTGATCCACAAGCCCAATATTGAAGACCACTACTACCGAGGCCCAATCACCTTCAAATAAGGTTTTGGTCCGATAATCTCAACTAATTAAACTTCAGCTCAATCAATGAGGTATAAATACAGGTTTGAACTCATTCCTTGAGGTACGTCCTATTAACTGAGCAATAATACAATAAGTATTCTCTGGACTATTTCCATTATCCGCACGTCTGACTTGATCGTCGGAGGGGTTTCCGCCGGATCAACCCCGGCCTAGTTCACGTGTTCTCTGTTTGCAGGTATCTCAAGGTCATCAAGCTCGTGAGTCAGTGATCCACTTTGCTCTTCCAGCTCATCCTACTTCTACTCTCTAAGGTGATCTAACTCTAGCATCATCATAAGGCAAATCCAAAAAAATGTTTAATATAAATTCTATTGTTCGGCCAATTAAAACCAATTTATATTAGTAAATGTAATAAAATCGAGACTAGCATTTTTAAAAACTGACTTTTGTTCCCGTGAATAATTTAATGTTGAAACTTGAATTTAGATTTATTTGAATGAATGGTTTATACAATATTAACTCTTACATGTTTATTGTATTATTATGATATAATCTACTCCCTATGTTCCACAATAATTTTTAAAATATTTTTATGGGGCTATTAGTGAGAACCCCCTCTAGCATTTTTTTAATAAAGATGGGTACAACCCCATTTCATTTATTAATGATAGGTCCAACTTTTTTTAATTCTCAAATTTACCCTTTCTTACTATTCTCTCTCCACTACTTTAATATCTATTTCATTTTTTTTCTTTTAATTATAATATTCGTTTGTTTATTTAAAAACTAATACTTTTAAAAAATATATTTTTTCCAATTTTATTATTTTTATTTTCCAGTTTTTTGCTTTCATATCGATTATAAAATTCTGAAAACAGCTATAAAATTTTCGGAATCAACTATTCCCTCAACTATTTCCGAAAACAACTATTTCCGAAATCAACTATTTCCGAAATCAACTATTTCCGAAATCAACTATTTCCATAATTAACTATAGGTTACTGAAAACAACTATTTTTTTTGTTCGTTTATTTCTCGAACCAACAATCACAAAAAATAGTCGTTTTTAATAGCAGGTTTACTAAAATTATATCAACTACAAATTAACGAAAATCAACTATAAAAAATTGAAATCAACTAAAAAATTATCAAATCAACTTTAAAATTATCGAAACCAACTATAAAAATCGAAAACAACTATAACTTATCTAAATCAACTATAAAATAAAAAATGTCAATTTAAGAGAAATTATAATCAACTATAGTTGAATCCAGATCCTCGACATTACAGTCGCATATCCATCGAGAAAGGGCTATATCTCCACCGATCATGTGTTGAATCCGAAAGTTGTGAGGGTGATTTGTTCTATCGCCGCCGTCTTAACCACTCCCCAACTTCTACATGCCAATCACTCTCAGGTGAAGAAAGGACGCAAATCACTTACGTCAACCGCCAATTACCACTCTGCCACATCAGATCGCCGCTACGGATGCCTAAAATGGTTTAAGAGAAAATAAATATAAAAAATCAACTACACTCCACAATATATCGAAAATCAACTACAAACCACATTTTTATCGAAAATCATGAATACAGATCTGAACCGAATCTGAAAATTCGATCTAAAATTGGCTACAGATAGGATGAATTAACAGCTTTGCTCTGATGAGTTCTCGAAACATAAGTTGTCGGTGTTTTTTATTACCGGTTTCATCCTCGGGCTGAATGAATCGGCAAGAGCCGCGACTCGAGGCAATCTGAGAGAGATTGTTGCCTATTGAATGACGGCTTCTGGTATTTGGAGAGACTCAAAAACAGTAAAGGATTAACGAGGGCACCGTCGGGTGATGACGACGGGAGTGGACGGAGGGCAGCGACGGCGGTGGTGGACGGAGGGCAGCGACAACGGTGGTGGACTGAGGTAGGCGATGGGCATATGAGATCTGGTTTGGAGTTGGAGATAGAAACGAGAGAGAGATAGCGGCTGCTGGAGAGAAAAGGAAGATGAAGAAGAAAAATAGGGTTTGGTGATTTTATATAATAATTAAGGGTAATATAGACACACCACTTAAAATTTTAATTTATGTTAAATTAAAATATAAAATAAGGGGGTTCTCACTAATATGTAAAATGAGGTTATATCCATTCTAATATAGTCAAATGTATTTGGGGGTTTTCGCTAATTATCCCTATTTTTGTTCCATATTATCTGTCAGTTTAGATTTCCAATTATGCATTAAATGCATTTTTCCTGTTTTAACCTTATTAATAAAAATCTAATTATTAATTTTCTCTTATAAATCATTAAATAATAAAGATTGTTTTAGTCAATTTTATATGATTTTTTAAAATCAAGATATATTTATTGAGTTTTTTAATCTTTATGAAAAATGAAAAGAGACACTTATTTAGGAACGGACGGAGTATGTTTTATATTATTTTTCATAGTCAATCAAATAATTTACGATACGAATTATTTAGTTTGATTAATTAATCATGTCATAGGATTTGGGGGTAAAAAAGTATTTCTTACTGTTTTTTTTTCTTTTTAAGTGCCGTTTTAGCAAATACAACTATTTTATATCAAATGTCGCTTTACAACTTCAATGAAGATAAATTTATTTTGTACAACTACTAAAGTTAATGATAAATTAATAAATCTATCTATCTTAGCAATACATCTATCTTATCTATTACTAATAAGAAAAATAGAGTTTTCATCCTTCAAAATTTGTATTAATTTTATATTTGGTCATCATATTAAAAAAAAAAACATATTTAATCCCTCGTGTTTCAATAATTCGACGCTTTTAGCCTTTATGTTAATTTATCGTTAGTCTTTCAGTTAAGGGCACAAGCTCGATTCCATTAGTACTAACGGAAAATTGACAAAAAAAACTAAAAGTGTTAGAATGAAACATGAAGGACTAAATGTATGTTTGTGAAATATAGGGGACCAAATGTAGAATGAGTGAAAACTTGAGAGGAGGAAAGACGTATTTTCTAAAATAAAAGGCCGGCATGGGCTGCCGGGAAATAATAAAGAGAGACTGGTGCGCTACCTCGATTATCGTCACTTCAATCCCACTTGACATATATTCAATAACGTTAAGAAATTCAGCTTACACGTCATCATTGAAATATATATATATATATATATTAAGTATATATATATCTCTATGGCCCCCAAATCCCGCCCCCCTATTTTCCACGCTTTATTTTTTGCCCCTTTTAATCTGAAACGGCGTCGTCTCGTACTAATCCACCAATCACCGTGCGTCTTTATTTTCTTTTCTCTTTTCTTTTGGAATATGCACGATCGACCTCTGTGCTTCTTTCTTTTACCTTTTTCTTTTTTTCAAAATTCTTCGCCGCTTCAACGGGTGATCCACAGGCCTACAATTCCTGACTTTGACCGCCGCCTCGTACGCAGCCGCCGCTTCGTTCGATGACCGTCGTCGCCGACGCCGCTTCGTTCGATGCCCACCGCCCCTCCCACCAATGTCAGTTCCCACCTTTTTTTCCTCCAATTGCAGGCTTCTCCACTTTCGATCTCATCCGCATCCGCAATTGGATTACTCTGACTTGTGGGCTCGTAATTTTTGGGTGCACAACCTTTTTCTCCAATTCTCCCAGTTTCTATTCCATGGCATTCGTTCTATTATCTTCCTCCTCTTCTTCTCCACCCCTTTTCGGCTACCAACTTGCCAGGTTTTGTGCTCTTTTGCCCCCGATTTGTTCGATAAAACTTTTCCCTCTTGTTTTGCTCTTTCTGTCGGTCCTCCGGTCACCTCCACCGACGCTTGCAGTCGAGCTAAGGCAGAGAGAGAGAGAGAGGAGAGCTACAAATCATCTTACATATTTTCACAGTGTATGTTTTCTGCTCCTTGGCTCTCTTTTTGCTAATTTTAAATATAAAGTATTATCCATTCGACTTATTTATATTTTTTCGTTTTGATTTACCTTGCTTTAGGAGGCTGATGAAGATGAACTTGAAATGAATGATGACGAAGATGATGAGGTAAATGCACTTATTTTGCAGTTATGTAAATGGATTTTATTATTGCAACTTCTATTACTTACTAAATGCATGTCTGCTTCAATGGTGTATTATTTCCTATAATTTTAATGCTTTGATTTGCTCGTTTTTCACAAACTAAAAATTGATATCATGATAATATTGTTAGTTTTCAATTTTTTTTTAAGATAATCTTTTGCAGTTTGCTGGGACTCACGTGAGTTACTTTTGTTGTTTCTCTGACTTCCTAAATGGAAATAATTTGATAGGGAAAATAAACTATGGTTAATCTATGTATAGCTCTATATTTGTCTCATTCTAAATATAATATATGATGTATTTATATGCAAGAAAAGAACAGTGATGGTTATGAAGATGACGAAGCAGAAGAAGACGAAAAATGAGCCGAGTGTGAATGCAAATTAAATTTGTTCTTACAGTTTGAACATAAAAGTTTTTTTTTTCACTTGTTTTCCTAATGATGTCTGTGATGAACAAGTTTAGATGTTTTTGAAGAATAAGACTAATATATGTGGATAATATATTCTCAACTTCCTTTCAAGTCCATTTTGTCTCTCAGCACTTTCAGGCAGCCCCTTAGAAGATAGTATTAATATGTTGATGCTCTTTGAATACGTAGAGTATAATATGATGCTTCACTTTTAGACATTTAGATGCATGAGTAATGTTGGAATACTTACCCAGATGTTATATTCGAAGCTGTTTCCCTTTTCTTTGAGGATCTTGAGCAGCTTCTCAACAATTTGGCGCTTGCCGTGTGAGTTTGATTTTCTTTATCTATGTTGTTTTCTTTTTACCTTTCCGTTATTACTAATGTGTTTATTAATTTATTTTGATATCAATTTCAATCTACGTGGTCAACATGTTTTAGATTTAACTAGGTTGATGCTCATTTTCACGACTTCAGCCGTAGCACTTTCAGGTAATAATTTATTGTCTTTGTTGTTCCGTTCTTTGTGTGTATGTTTTTTTTATCCTGAAGAAATTTATGTCTTTTTCTTTGTCCTTTTCTTAATCTATTATTTCTTATACTCAAGGACAATTTCGGCAATTAAATTTCCTGATTTTGAGCTTTTTGGGTTTAAATTACCAGCATAGGTGCAAAGAGGGTGAATAGTTTGTGTGTTGCCCTCAGAAACTTTTGTAAAAAGAACAACTTCGACGGGTGAGTTCAACCTTATCTTAATCAGAAATTATTAATGTCATCGATGAAATTGTCTATTGGCACAAGATATTGGCTGGTTTATTGCTGATAAAATACATGTTAGCTATGTTAGTAGTTGTGCCTAATGGATTGACTATATGCTATACAATTTATTTACCCCTGCTAAATTTCAATATAGTTTCTATCTTGCCACCAATTAGTGTACTTAAATTATTGCTCCAAACGGCATCTTCTCAAGTATTCGGACATAATGGCCCTTTTTTCTTTTTGTTTTTTGTCGGCCTTACCAATTTTTGTTTTTCTGTTTTGTATGTTGAGGGGGTTTCTTGGATGATCAGTCTGTACCAGACATAGATTAGTCATTAGCCTGATTCTGGAATGATTTATTCGAACATGTTTTCATTACCGGATTTAGTTTACAGACACAATGATTTTTTTTTCAATTTTTCATAATTTCAATATTAATTGTTGAGTATTTCTTTTGCTCTGTTTCACTCTGATTATACGAAGTTAAAATGGTTCAATTTAGTTTTCCTTTTTTGCAATCTCATTTCGCGTGAGAACATACAAGTTGATATTTTGTACGACGTTGAGATGGTAACATTTTCTTAGGCTAACATTTTTTTTCGTTGTCGTTTAATTTGAAATGTGTTTTAGGTGCTACATTTAGGTCAAAACCCTAATTTGTCCTTCTATATGCATTAGTCTCTTCTGGACTATGAAAGACACAAGACACAAAGTGACGAGCTTCAACTGCCGGTAGCAACACTTACTGAAGTTTCTGCTTTTGACGTTGATGTGAGTTCGCATTTAATATTTCTTATTGCATGGTTCTTCCAAGTTTTTTTATAAATTGAACACTTTCCTTTGTTCTGCGAAGGTGACCCAATATATTAAGTGCAAATATTGGGTTATTTGTTGGAAAATCTCTTGATTCTTTGGAATTTTTATATTTGAGGAGAATGTAAGTGTAAAGATTTAATCATGAACCTGATTACTTTTATAACTTTAGCCTTGCTTAATATGCAAAGAATCCAACACTGCGACGTTGCGGCGTTTCTTTCATCTGAGATTCCTCTGGATTTGGAGGACGGCGGCGAACAAAAAGAGTGGTAGCGGAAGATCTAGAAGAGCAACGAAATTGAAGTTTGTCGGCATCGAATTTAGGTTGGTTAAATGACCTTGATTCTCCACCGCTGTCGTGTAATATACATATTCTCTTAGGGGGAGGCAACTCCACCGTTTGTTTGCTCTGTAATCTTTTTTTTTCTTCACTGATATTCATACCGTATTATTTTTTATGGGTTATTTGATTTTTTGGAGTCTGGTCTTGATCGTCTGCTATCAATTGTTTAGGCTTTCTAGCTTGCTTCTGGTGTTCCCCGGCAAATTTAAAGAAGGCGGCATGATCGAAGATGGCAAGACGAGGTTATTTAGGAACTTCGATGTTTAGTGATACACTATCGTGCACGTTAACTGTCTTGCCAAGATCAATCTGGCGGGCCCACTCGATACTGTTTGGGTCAACAATTGTTGAATATCGACAGGTAATTAATCGAATTGTGTTCGGACTTGTTGTATTATGATGAAAAAAAGCGTAATTTTGTTTTGTATATGTTATTTATTGAGTTATGTTTGGTGCTTGAAGGACTTGATGCGACTTCGAATGTTGCCAAACCGATAAAGGATCAACTGTGGCCATTTTCGATTTTTTTTTTTTTTTTGAAATTTTATTTAAAATGAAAGAACTCACAGGAAAGGTTAACAACAATGAGGACAACTAAGATACCAAACTACAAATTAGAAAATTTATTTTTACTTAGTAAATTCCAGTCTCGCGTTTTGTGATTTGTCGAAAGTTACTATATGCTTAATTTTCCCTTCTCCATTTTCTTTTCTGATGGTGTTTTAGTTCTTCAGCATATAGAAATGTCCTATGTCGTAGAGATATTATGTTTGTATGTTCATGGTTGTGGATGTATCTTCTCCATCACAGCTTCTTTTACTACTTGTTTAATTTGAGTTGTTCTGATTTATGAGCCTTACCAAATTTTCTTTATATTCTTTTTTGTTAATTGACTGCAACTTGTTTGAGTACTTTATTCAATTTGAGTACGTCTGATATTTTGGACTCTGAATAAATGAGGCCAATTATTCTACAGTTTTGAATAACAGGAGTGTTTCTGGTGGAGTTAAAATATGGAACTTAATAAAACATTGCATATCACTTTTTCCTAAACTATTCCATGTGTTTTGAAGGGATTTTTCCCATTTAGGCTCATTTGCTGGTTTATTACCAATCTTAGACAGGTTTCTATTGGTGATAGCTTTCTTCACTTCCTTTGGAAATTATATATATCTTGCTTCCTTCTTTCCTTCTCGTTTTTAGTTTGGTTTCTCTGTAATATGCTAAAATTGGAGTTCATGTGTAGGTCTTATCAGCTTTCGGTTTAGTGCACAAGATTGTTGCATTTCAGAAGGCTGCTGATTTTCAGGTGAAGATTTGATGAAGAATTTATTTATTTTTCATTCAGCTGGCTGAATCTGTGTCTGCAGCCTGTGCCTATGACACGCTTATATAACATATTTCTTTCGCGTCTGATTCTTCAATTTGTTTATTCAGTCTTCCGCGTTCCTCCCCACCTAAGTTTTGTGCATTGCTGGAAATTTCGTCCTTGCTGATTGTTGTAATTTTCGCTTGTAATATTTTTTGCTTCCGCTGTTGCGCTAGATGTTCCTGATACTTTTACAACAAGGTTTTGTTTGAGTGATTCTGTTGCACAAAGATTAATTTAGATTATGTGTAAATGCATTGGTATTCTTTTTTAATTACTACATTTACTGGGTATTGCCACCGCGCCTTGCGCGGTGCCCATGACTAGTATATATATATATATATATATACATATCTGAATCCCTCAACAATTCCGATATAGAGTATAGAAATTCTTAAATCTGAAGAAGACGCTGATTCCGAATTGCACGAACCGTGTATATTTCCAATGGCTTTTCACCGGAGCTCCGTTCTTCTCCGCAAGGCGATCAGCCGGCGCACGGCGGCGCTATCGTCTTCCTACAATTATTCGCTGCGCGATTCATCCAATTGTTCCGATTTGGGGAGATGGTATTCAAGCTCAGGATCGGAGAGTAAAGAAGGCGGCACAACCACCATGCCGGCGGCGGGGTACCACGTCGGCGGCGGACCGTCGTACATGCGGGGAGCTGTGTTTTGGGAAAAGAACAAACCCCTCACTTTCGAAGATTTTCAGATGCCCCGCCCTAAGGCCAACGAAGTTCTGATCAAAACCAAGGGTAATTAATTAGGGTTGTGTTTTTTTATCCTCAATTTACTTGTTGTACATTATGCTGCAAAGCTTGTTCTTTTTTTTTTTTTTTTTTGGGAATGTACTAATTGCAGATGAGAGAGAGGGAAGTAATTGGAGAAGAAAAGTCATTTTTGCTTTTATGTTTGTAGGCTGCTGAATCTTACATTGTTTATAGGTGTAATTACAGTTAACCCCTCTGGACTATAGGCTCCGACTCAAAATGCCCTCTGAACTACAAACATGGAGGGTTTGTACCCTTTCCGTAACTCAGTCAACGTTAATAACTGCCAAAAATATTTACAGTCTTAGTAAAAAAAGCAGTTCAAGAAATCACTCATAAAAATTCAATCTTGAATCAGTCACAGAAAAGAGTTCAAGTGCCGGGGGAAAGATTTCGATAATTTGGAAAAAGGAGAAGTCCTGACACGGGCAAAACAGCAATGAAAGATGGATTCAAATTTGAATTTGGGGGTTTTAAATAAGATTAAGGATTTTCATTGAAATAGAGTTTTAATTTGAATTTGGGGGTTTTAAATCGAATCAGGGTAATAAAGCAAAAGTCAAACCTCCACCTCAGCGTTTGCAGACGGCACATTAACGAAGGGGTACTAATTGTCCCAATTTATAGTTGAGGGGTCATTTTGGGTTGAAGCCTATAGTCCAGGGGGTTAACTGTACTTTTAACTTGAATAATTTGTTGAATGTGTTTGAATATTTCCGCAGCCTGTGGGGTTTGCCACTCCGATTTGCATGTGATGAAAGGCGAGCTTCCTTTCGCGAGCCCCTGTGTTGTAGGGCACGAGATTACTGGTGAGGTCGTTGAACATGGCCCACACACTGATAGTAAAACCATCGAAAGGTCCGATAAAGCTCCGAACAAAAAAAGTTATTTACCTTTTACACTCGTGTTTGGTCGGCAGAAACTAACTTTAATTTTTTCGTTACCAGATTCGCTGTCGGATCTCAAGTTGTTGGAGCTTTCATAATGCCTTGTGGAAGTTGTTTCTATTGCTCTAAGGCACGTAAGTCGAGAGATTGCCCTTCTTTGGGTGTTCGTCTCCACGTGAAATCATAAGCTAAGTTACCGTACCGGGTTAACATTACTTACTCGCTTTTTAACCGGCTACGTACGTCTGTTATGTTAACAGGGTCAAGATGACTTGTGCGAGCCTTTTTTTGCTTATAATCGAGCGAAAGGGACACTTTATGATGGCGAAACAAGGCTTTTTCTCCGAAACAGTGGTACATTTCTAACGAAGCGCTCTTACTTATAGAACATTGAGTACAACTCTGCATATGATCTCTTACACATTTATTCGGGATCTCTTATTTTTTGAATTCCTGTATACCATACTGAATACCAAAATATTTAATATATATTTACTTTTTTCTTTTATTTTAAATCCTTTAAGGTTATGACAAATTATAAAATGCTTATAGATTGATAATTTTCCCATTATTTACAAATTTGCCTCCATTGATAATCAATTTTTTTTTTGTTTTTAGGGCCGACTATTGAAATTTGAATGTCAAATTCAAGAACTAATTAGTTTCAATATTTTTTTTTACCTTTTTTAAAATAAGAAAATATATTTTCAATTTTACCGGTACCGAACCGAAAAAACCAAATTAATTCGGTAAAAAATCGCACCGAACCGAATAGTCCGGTTCCATAAACGCTACAAATTTTCGAAGTACCGAAATTCCAATACGGTTTTACCGAATGAACACCGCTACAATATCCGCTTAAATTGATGCTGGATTTTGGATAAATCTTTCTTTTCTTCGGCATGTGTCTATGATAATCTGTATTAGAACCAATTTGTAGTATTCTTAATATAATCGTCACAGTCACCCGGTAATAAAAGATATTTGGTCTGTAATACGTTGATTCTTGTGCAGGCAAGCCAGTTTATATGTACAGCATGGGAGGTCTTGCCGAGTACTGCGTGGTACCTGCAAACGGGCTGACCATATTGCCAAAGTCGTTGCCTTACACAGAATCTGCTATATTAGGATGTGCAGTTTTTACCGCCTACGGTGCAATGGCACATGCTGCTGAGGTGCGTCCTGGTGATGCCGTCGCCGTCATTGGAATCGGGGGTGTTGGCTCAAGGTAAATAAAACAAAACCTCATTTGTCGAAAATCGAAAATCGAAAGTCAATCTTCTGCGTTTTAATGTAAGTCATGGAACAGTTGTCTGCAGATTGCAAGGGCATTTGGGGCTTCCGAGATAATTGCAGTCGATGTTCAGGATGAGAAGCTTCAGAAAGCCAAGATATTTGGAGCCACTCATGCCATTAATGCACTAAAGGAAGATGCCGTTGCGAAGATCAGAGTACGTACTCTTATCTTTACTTTTAATGACTTGACGCAGTTAACTCTCTGTTTCCGATAAAAAACCCATAAACGAGCGATCGTTTTGAAGGGGAAAAAAATACGGTTCTCAAAATCCCGTTTTTGTGATGTTTAAACAGGAGATTACAGGAGGAAGGGGTGTGGATGTAGCTGTGGAAGCCTTGGGCAGGCCACAAACATTTTCGCAATGCGTACAAAGTGTACGCGATGGCGGAAAGGCAGTAATGATTGGCCTTACCCTCTCAGGGGCAAAAGGGGAAATAGATATAAACCACTTGGTTCGCAGGCAGGTGCGTATTACTCTCTCTCTCTCTCTCTCTGATATCTCTCTCTCATCCATGCGAAGTTCTTAAACAGTAAAACTAATCATTGTAATGCAGATAAAAGTGATTGGGTCTTATGGAGGTAGGGCCAGACAAGATCTACCGAAATTGGTGAAGTTGGCGGAACGAGGCATATTCAATCTCGAGGCTGCTGTTTCGAGGAAGGTGAAATTTGAAGAAGTGGGCCAGGCATATAAAGACCTTGACGATGGAAATATCGTAGGGCGTGCTGTGGTCGAGATTATGTGATCAAGAAGGTCATTACATATATTCTTGTGAAGCTATATTCTGTATTGTCTCCATCACTTTCTTGCAACCTTTGACTTGTTTTTGTTATAGTCATGAGAATGTGTAATAATAGCAATAATCTCAGGTCTTAAAATGTGAGCATTTTCTTGTTTGTACCAAAAACATGGTATCTTTTCAATGTGTGCCGTTGGTTCAACCTAGGGGTGAAAGTCGATGGAGCGTATCCGAGTTAACTTACATTGCAAATTTCCGATTTTTTTTTTTTCTTTCTGGGAATGCAAAGTCATCCCCAAATTCGATTCCCCCCAAAAACATTGGAATTTAGAAAACCATTCCAATTCCAAAAGTTTCGAATTTTTTAAATTTAAGAAATCGTAAAAATTGAAAATCTCGGGTTTGGAATTTTTTCGAAATTTCATAAAATTTCAAGAAAGACCATATTGATAGACATCAATTAGATAATTAATTATTTTTTCCCGAGTAAAACATGTAATATGTGACAAATTATATAATATTTGAATCTATGTTTGAAAATTAATTTTTTTGAATAATTTTGAAAATTATAATTGAATATGCTGTACTACATACATATTTCCAATTACAATCCCAAAATATAAAGAAAATCGGAAATTTGATTTTGAAAATCGGACTGAAATAAAATGTTCCAAAATTAGAAAATCCCAGATCGGGATCAACAAAAATTAGAAAAAAAATTCCGTTCCAACTTTCAGCACTAGTTAATGCACATAATTTCTGTCACTTAACTGATTTGTGCACACTTTTGATAGATTGAAATGCACACAATTGATCTACACGTAATAACATGCACCAATGTGTGTATGTGGGTAGTTATTTATGTAAAGCTAGAGTTTAAAACCACATAGTATATTCCACCAAGTATAGGATCTAATAAGCCGAAATGCCACACCATTTCCACACACAATGAACTTCGTCGAGTAATTTTCCCCTTTTAATTTGCACACAATCACACACATACATGTGTATGTGTGTAAAAGGTGTATTAACCCATATACATGTATGAACCGCTATAATCCGGTGGAGTTCTCAGGGTGTAGCATAGAACAAACCGGCAAAATATGTGTCGGAAAAGAACACCTCGTGCACTAAAAAAACACTTGGACAGCACAAAAAATGTCTTTGCATGGGAACTTTATACAGAAAACAAAAATGCCATTACACTTCTAAAATCAATACCATAGAATTTGAAACTCAGAAGAGAAATAAAAAATATTTTAAAAAAAACGAAAAAAGAAACGAAAGGCAATAGCATGACCGAAAAAATGTACCCGGGAGAAAATAATTCACAAACATAAAGAATAGCAACTACATGTTGGGCCAACTAATGGGGTCTTATTAGCAAAATTCCACTAAAGACGAAGTCGTTCGCGCCCAAGATTCATAAAATTCCGTTCCAATAAAAGAATTATGTATTGGCTATCTATTGCATCCCAATCAATATAACTCACTCACTACGGTTTTTTTTCTTTTTCTAACAGGATAGCAATGATTCGATTCTACCCCGTTTACTGTTTCCCAACTTAACCTGGTGGCTAGTTTCATCTGTACCTCGCTCTCTAGTCAAACAATTATACATCTTTCCACTTGTTGGCATACTTGAGGAATGAAAGCGTTCGGTTTTCATTTGGTGGGGCCCTAACACGAGTTGATCTTCGAACCAGAGACTCTTCCATTTCGACCGTTGCCTGCATTTTCTCTGATCTTTTCTCAATTCCCAGGCTGCAAAATTGGATTAAACAAAAAATAGCGTCAGTTATCAAAACCAACCATCCGATATTAAATGAGAGAAATTATTAACCAACCATATTCTATTGTAAAATTTCAGCAGCTGTTTCTTTAGAGCCCTCTCCCGTTCACCTTTTGTGTTCAACGAGCCAATCAAAGCATCAAGCTGCCATGAGAAAGAGATATAAGAATGCTTCAAGTAATATGAGGGAAAAACCTAAATTGTGCAGTACAGGTTCGGAATATTATACCTCCTCCTTGGTTCGGTAATATCCCCACTGCGTGGAGTTAGAACTCTCAACGAATATTCGTCCATCGCGTCGAAAAAACAAATATCTGCAATAGTTTCTATCTTTGCCTAATGGGTTATTGCGTATAACTCTCTTCTCAATCTCCTGCTCAAGAAATTCTTTCTGCACAAGGAATAGAGATTTACGTATCAGCACTCTTTGTTTCACTTTTCTTCAAGATAAATAAAAATACGCAGATGAGTGTTTGAGTGCGCGCGCACAGACACCACACACACACCACACACACCACACACACACACACACACACACACCACACACACACCCACCACACACACACACACACACACACACACACACACACACACACACACAGAGGCCCACCCTTTCTTCGACACTCTTCATCTCTAATGATTCCTTGACTTCATTTTTCATCAATTTGTGGATATCTCTCTTAGAGGCATGATTAACATCCTCTAAAAAGGTGTTGGCTTCAACCTTCCGTTTCTTAGAATTCTTCTTGGAATCTCCTTGTTCATTATCACTGTCGAATAAAGAAACAAGAACATTTAGTCCCCACTGACACTCGAAATAAAGAAAAGAACTCATTTTTATTTTTCTAACAAAATCAGTTCCGAGTTCCGACCTGTTCCCAGATGAATTGTTCCCTTTCCCATTACTTTTCTCTTGAATAACTTCCTTGCCATTAGCTTCTGACTTTCGACGCTCCTTTTCTTCTCTTCTCTTTCTACCTTCGTCCAGTGCTTCATCTCTCCGTGCAGCAGCAAGTGCCTGTCTTTCTTCAATGTACTCATCCAACTTTTCCTTCACAATATCTGTCTCCAAAGCTTGAGCAACCAGTTCACGGAAAATCGCCAGTTTCACACTAATCTCCAATATACCATAATGACCTCGCTTTATAGTACTTATGTGCATCAATAAGTCCTCGGTACAAAAAGTTTCCATGAAATCACATAGATATTCAGTCCAGGTAATCTGTGTAATCTGACAGAAAAAAAGGTACATGTATATTAATTCTCCGAAACAAGAAAAAAGGAAGACAAGAAATTCATCAATTACTCTCTATGTTTTGAAACCTTTGGCTTCCTTTTCTTGTTTTCTACTACAATCGAGAACTTCCCGTTGTCCTTTACAAGCAAATGAAGAAGAGCGGAGTAGGATTCCACAACGAGCAACGGAGTGCTGTCTCTATAGCAAAGGGAATTCTCAAAGTCTTCAAGGGAGAAAGGGGATAAGTTCAACAGCCTGCCAAAAGAAGCACAGAAATCCCACACCATCAAAAGATCCCCTACGCAAACCATAGGCACATTGAAATCACTGCAAGGATTCGGCCTTTCCATCAAAAGTCGATCTTCCTCAGAAGGTTGCACTAGCAGGTCCTCAATGGGGTACTTAATGGATTGATCTTCTTGATTTTCATTCGCTGAAGGTAATAAAAAGGGAGCAAGACTAAGAAACACAGTTAAAAAGAAAGGATGAATACAAGGATTTTAGACTCTTGGACTCTAAAATATTACGAAAAGCATGAAAAAATAATGATACAAACGAGCCAATAAAACCTACCTCCATTGGCAATCTTCGAATACCAAGGGAGCTGAGATGATAACTGATTCCTTCGATGATATACCTTGATCTCCTTGTCACTTGGCGTCTAAAAGAAACATCAATAGAAAACAATATCACTGATAAAAAACTTTCAGAAAGAATTCGGAAAGATTAAAACGGAACAGAATTTCAATTCACCGCAATCTTTTGTACCTCTTCACTTTTCTTCCTCTTCCTACTACAAACTAGGAGTCCATTCTGCATGGAAAATTTCAAATTTAGTTCCCCGGAAGGAGAAGTTTTGATCCCATGCTTCTTCGCTAAATTTTCATGTAAAACCCAAGGGAGACTACGACAAGTTGAGTCTTTAATAAAAGCCTTGAGAACCCGTTTACTAAACGGCAGACTCTTTCCAGTCAACTCATCGCCATTTAATAATGTCTTCTCGCTGCTTCTGAGCCATTCGACCTCGTATTGTGTTTTGTGAGTACCCTCAACGACTTTTACAACTTTGCACAGATGTAAACGTCCATCCTTCCTTCCATATAATTCAGCACCCTCCGAAAATGGACCTTCTAGTTTCGCAGCGATTGAATTGACCAGATCCTTTAAATTCAGCATGCCTGACAGTAGATTAAAAAAATTAAAAGATATAGAAAATATTAGTTACAGAAAAATGTAAAACGGAGCATCTGAATTCAATTAAATCAGTTGGCCCATTTAAGCAAATACAGCGCAGTTCATAAATCCATAAGCTGTATAACATATAAAAGATACACCTTCCAGAGATAGATGATACCTTGTATGAAAGATGCAAGCAATATAGCCACCCGAAAAAAAAGTAAATATATATTATATTGCAAATTTTGACATAAAATATTCAACTTAAATATTGAATGTCATGGACTAACTAACTTCTGAATGAAGCCTCTATCTGTATTATGAAACTCTGTACACAAATAAAGAAAGGGCAGGTTCTGCTTCATAAGACAAGGAGATCAATGGAAGTCAACTAGCAAGGATATATTTAAGTAATAGGCAAATATGTACCTCAAGACCACACACGAATTTGTGATACGATGGAATTCGGAACTTTATTAGGTATTCCATCAATAGATGGTATCAACTCAATGATCCATATTTCTGCTTAATTTTAAATGTTAATTTCCTTTATAGCTTACCATGAACGCCTCTGCCTATGGAAATAACAACTGGGGTATCCAGCACAATGAAGCAAAAAACAACATCTATGCAATCTCCATTTACATTTGGAATATGCCCCTCAAGTACTCGTATCAAATTGTTGTATGTAAGATCAAAAACTAGATCAGCTACATGTATACTTCTAGATTAACGAATTAAAGTATCACAGACAAATGATTTGGATTACCAAATGGCGTTTAAATGCCACTCTACAGCATCTCGGAGTGTTAACCTACTACTTGATATTTAATAGGGTGCATTCACAACTAAAAAAAATGGAAGGGCCTCGTAATACACGCACCCAAGGGAATTTCAGCCGGAATCAATAGATTAAAAATATTTATCCTGAGCTACAAGCTATTCAGTAATAATTCCGAGGGGGGGTGGGGGGGGTGGGGGGGGTCAAATGTTGGGAAGGAAAAAGCAGAGGTAATTCTTTGGAAACCCGATTTCTCTGTCTTCGAGCTAATTTACATTTTAATAGGGAATACATATTTGAAAAAAGAACATTTAATCATTTAATGCTTTTTGTCGTCTACTTTGGCATGATTTTGGTAATCCACGTACAAGGGGAAACAGATATTATTATTTAAACCATATCTCCCTTCATGCACCATCTGGCACATTATTAACGGCATTTCGACAGAACAAAGGATCTGCCATAATGATGTTCACTAAATATATAAATCATAGGCTAACAGCCACCAAAAAAATCAAGTATGTACCAAATAGGAAACCCACGACAACTTAGCAGTTTCTCGTATTATTCGGGTTTTTTGACAATTGTCACTCCATTACTTAATAAATAAGCAACAAAGTTGCTAAACGAATGAACAAAATCAAGCGTTTCAGCATAAATCTAATTAGATGGTTAAACACACACACATACACACTCTCTCTCTCTCTCTCTCACACACACACACACACACACACACAAGAAGGCAGCGAACTTACTGAATTGTACATCACGAAGAACAGGAGCTATGTATTCGATGGGAATACTTTGTATTCTTATTGAAGCTTTTTCTTCCGAATCCAAGGCCTCTTCATAGGTCAAATTGCCCTTCCCCGTAGCTTTGCATGTCCATACTCTTTTGCGATAGAAGTTGATTCTCTTCAAATATTCACTGTGACATTTAAGATCCAGGCATTAGAAATATTCCAAGAAATAAAACAACATTTCTATGACTTGAATAGAAATAGAATTTACTTGTAACTTCTGAAAATTTCTTTTGTGAATCGAATTTGAAAGACAAGCTCTTGAGGCTTTAAATCCTCAGGCTTTCCAACCAAATCAAATGGCTTTCTTTTATAAAGAGGCATCTCTTCAGTCTTCTCCGCTCTCAAATTCCTTCAAATTTCAATCCCATAACCTATAAAACAAGGAAAAAACACATGGATCAGGAACCCAGAAGAATAAAACTGCAATCAACTAAGAACCCACGAGCAACAAACCATGAAAAAATGCCCAAAATCGATAAAAAAAAGCAATAATGAAAACCCACTGAAAAATCGTCAATAGAATGGGAAAATCACACATATAAATCAAAAACAAACACCCAGTTCGAGAATTGAAGAAAGCATATCAACAACAAACCAGATGAAGAAAGAGAGAACCCCAATTTTGACTACTGGAATAACTCCGAATAACAAAACCAAAAAAAAAAAAAAAATAGAACACACTAAGTAAATATATATAAAAAAAATCTGCATGCATTAAAGCTGCAGAGCGAATCAATAGCTGTTGTACAGACAAATGTACCACCGAAGCACAGTACAAAACGGAAACACACGATTTTCATTCAGTTCCGATAACACGAAGAGAAAAAAAAATTAACCAAAAAAAAAAGGGACAAATTCAACAAAATTCCACATGCAATTAATTTATTTCCCGCCAGGAGTTGATTTTGATTGAGAGATGAGAAGCAGAAACGTACCTGGGAGAAGAAATCGATTGGATTGAGGTGTCGATTGTGAGGGTTTTGATGGTATATATATATATGTGTGTGCGTTTGTGTGTAATGTGCGTGTATATATATATATATATATTTATAGAGAGCGGGGGCAAAGGAGAAGAAATACGAGGAGGCGGTGATGCTACGCTTTTACGCCAGTGAAGACTGACTGACGTGTGTGTGTAACCATGCCTATTTATATTGATTTTGAATCTTTTCTTTTTATTTATAATATTTTAAATATAATTTGTTTATCAATAGATATATGATTTATGCAATTTCTATTCCCATTTTGTATACACTCTTGAAACAAGCAAGTTTTGAGTTTTAGTTTTGAAAAAATATAAGTGGTTTTTATTTAGAAATCAATTGCACAATCTTAGGCATATTCATTGAAGATTTATGTCATTTTATATATGGATTGAAGATATGTTTCGTAACATGATTGTAACGATCGATGATCCGTTACGGATTAGTAATCGTGTGTAAAGATATATATAAGTGTAAAATAAAATATACGAACTGAACAGTTGTAGTAATAGTGTTAGTGGAGAGAAATGTGGAGCGTAACTTCGTATGCATGACGTGAAGAGGATATGACGGTGGTAGTTAACTGGTATTACTCTCGAGTAATCAATGTATAATTACTTAGTACAACATTTGTTCCTAATTAATTGTCGGGTTTCAATTTTGTACGAGTATTACGGATCTCGATTAATGTGTCTTGATTTGAGGAAAAATAAATTAAAATGACTAAAATAACCTTGACTATTTAATAATATAATAAGAGAGAGTTAATACTTAGAATTGAACTAATAAGATTAAAAGATGGAAAAATGCATTTAATGCAATATTGAACAAAATTAAAATATGGAAAAATGCATTTAATGCAATATTGAAAAAGAGACGGATAATTGAAATAAATATATTTTAAAAAAATAGACAGTTATTTTTAACATTTTTAACAAATGTTAGTATATGTCATGAATGTTTTGAAATAGTAATCATGTGAAAAGATAGGAGTGAAGAAAGACAAAGAATACGACTTATGAATGCATGACATGTAAAATAAATAAAAGAAAATCAAGAAAATATTTAATGCATCACCAAAGTATCTTAAGATATATTTATCATTAAAGTGCAAATAGAGGAGCTGCGTTAAAAAATAAGATGTTTGAGTTGTGTATGAAAATGGCATAAGATTTGAAAATGGAGTCTTTAATATTTTAATAAGTCCTATTAATGTACTCTATAAATCTGAATTAGTGATTTTTTTTTTTTTGCAGATCCTCGTGGATTTAGATCACTTTTGTGTCCATATTTATTTCTTGTGTTATTTATTCTGTTTTTAGTAGTTATAATATGTGTCTACACAAAAATTAACACCGCAACATATAACGTCCTAACAAGTAGTTGTTACAACTAAATAATTTTGATTTCTATAGGCATATAAATCAACATTTGTTATTTTAATAAAATGAGTCAGATATTTAAGAGAAATTCGACCAAAACTCTCTACAAAATATGGTGTATAGTTAAAAGTTTGTTCGACTACTTTGAATTTGCTATAACCGTCTATCGGAACAGTTTAATTCGACATCTTAAAATAAAAATAGACAGCTTAAACTGAAATTGAACAGCTAGTTGGAGAGTTTAGATTGAAAATAGACAATTTAGACTGATTATGAACAACTTAGTTGAAATTTTTGAGTTGAACATAGATATCTCTGATGAAAATAAAAAAAATTCCTCAGTTTCGTGGCAGAAATTAAGCGGTCGCGGCATGAAATTGGTAGGGAGAGGCGGAAGACTTGAAGAAATGTCATTTTTTTAGTGGATACGTTTTTGAGGTCGACAACATATATGGAACTGGTAGAGAGAGGCGGAAGAGTGGAAGAAATGCTATTTTTTTGTGGATATGATTTTGAGAACGAACGAGTTGGAGAATAGTAAGGTTTTTTAGTCTAAAATAACTATTTTTGTTAAAACTCTCTAACTAAGCTACTCAATGAACTTTTAGCAAAATGCAAAAATATTACCATGCTAATTTGAAATTGTATTAGTGATGAAGGTGTTTAAAAAATTGCAATACTAATAACAGGAAAAAAAAATTAACAATTAGAGTAAAATAAGTTGCCCCTTATTTTAATGAGTCCATAATCCAAATTATGTTATAATATTAGTCAATTTAGTCATTCAATTTCAAATAGAAAATTATGATATATACACACCCTGGATCTGTTCAAAGTTCGAACATGCTCTAATCGAAAATTAAAACTATGATCTCTTATATTTTTTTCACACACACACACACATACACACACACATATATATATAGAGAGAGAGAAAGAATTACACTTTTGGTCTCTCATGTTTGGTCCGATTCCACTTTCGGTTCCCCACGTTCCAAATTGTACAAAGTTCACCTCCAAAATTCCATCTTAAAACACTTTTGGTCATCGCCGTTAAATGTCCATTAGCAAGTAACGGAACACACTATTTTGAGGTGAAAATTAAAATTTTAAATTTTTTGGGACTGGAAAATAATTATAAATTTAATAATAAGAAAATAAATTAACGAAACAAATTATTTTTTATTATACTTAATATTATTATAATTATATTACTTATAATTAAATTTTTAATAAAAAAAATTAACTAAACAAATTATTTTAATTATATTACTTATGATTAAAGTTTTAATAATAAAAAAAGAAATTAACTAAATAAATTTCATTATACTCAATATTATTAAAAATTTAATAATAAGTAGTCTATTTTAAATTTCTAATTATTTTACAACCCCGAAAAAAAATTAAAATTTCATTTTTCGTCCCAAAATAGTGTTTTTCCGTTACTTGCTAACGGACATGTAATGGCAGAGACAAAAAATGTTTAAAATTGAACTTTGGAGGTGAACTTTATTAACTTTGGAACAAGGGAACCAAAAGTGGAATCGAAACCTTACAGTATGCCATATATCACACAAATACACATTACATTACATACAAATATATATATATATATATATATATATATATATATATATATATATATATATATATATATATATATATATATATCATCGCCCTATACATAAAATATGCTGTTCAATCTTTAATTACATCATAATCCAGTTGTGTACAAACTATTTCAAAAAAAAAAAAAAGAAAAAAAAGAAGAAGAAAAGAAAATGAATACAGTCCACTACACTCTATCAATCGCAGAAAGATGATCGAAGGTATTATTAGCAGACGAATGTACCTCCGTTTCGTCTTCACCTAATTTATTTCTTTCAACATTTAAATCATGCACAAACTCCCGATTCGAAATTCCCGAAGTTTTCGGTGATGGCTTCACAGCACCGCCTTTCTTGGCAACGGGCTTTGACCGGTTGACCAAATAGTTAAGCCATGACAGAAGATCGATAACGTAAGCCTCTGTCTTTTGCTTGTCTGCATGGTGTAGTGTCTCGATTTGCATAATGTCGATGGGCCCCACTGTTCTGTGATTATGTGCGGAGCTGCATTTATATGGGAAATCATATCGGAATTAGCACTTTTCGGAAAAAAAATCCATTTTTTCAAAAAGTGTAAAACTGAATCCGAATTTGTTCCAAAAAAGGAAATCGGAGTACTGGAAATTGGAATGAAAAAAACATATTCCAAAATCAGGATTTTTTTTTAATCGGAATCGGCGGAATTCGGAACTTCCAAATTTTTTTATTGATATTATAAGTCTACTTTCGGAAATAGATTGGAATTTTCAAAAATTGGAATCTAATATGTATTCTAACTCCGTCCAAAAAAAAAAAATTGGAAATCGGAACTTTAGCATTTCAAAATGAAAAATATTGTTCCAAAATCGATAATATTCAGAACGGAATATGCGGAATTCGGAAATAACGTTCCAATTTCCACTCGTATATTCTTTAATGTAAAAAAATAACAAAAATAAATAAATAAATATTTGGACCATTAACCAACGGATATTTTAACTACTCACCCGGTGTTAGCCCACTCTCCGACCCAACCGAATCCGTGATGTGCTCTGTTTGCATAAATCAAACAAAGGATTTTCACGATTGATGATAATATACCGACGAAAACTGTACATGTGAAGGAATTATTTATTTATTTTATTTATTTATTTTATATCTTACTTGGCTGTGTTTGTGGCGACGAGAGCAAGCCAATGCAACGTCTTCTCCATCTCGTCTTTGATTTGTGTCACAGTCAGCTGCATATATCAAAAAAAAATAAAAAAAATTCATTATTTCAACAGCTAATAGAACTAATATAATAAAAATTAAAAAGGAAATATCCTACCTCTTTTCCGACGTGGAAAGTCTGCAGCTTTGATCGTAAAGAATCTCTTACATTCGGTGGCAAGCTTTGATACAATGTATCTCTTGACTCTGGTGACACGGAACTCGGACGAGCTACCTGATCACACGAGAATAACGGTCACATAAATAAATGCTTTAATTTCCGATTTAATATTTGTTTCGAACAATTTTTTTTTTTTTTGTTTGGAGAATATCTCGACAGTCCAATCAACTATAGTTTTCATCATTAAATAATAAATAAATAACGTAAACATTACTCACAATTGCGTCGATTTGCAGAATAATGTTAGCATAATGTAATGCAAGCCCGGCGGGTCCCAGTTTTTGCTGATTGCTGATTCGTTTTTCGGGTTTTTCACCTTCACCTCTTGGTGTGACTGCAAAAAAAAAAAAAATTATTAAAACGAAACATATATTTTCGACAAGGATATATCCAACGAAAGAAAATCGAGATTGGAATTTATACCTGGATTGCCGAAGGTGTTGTTTATTTCCTGATTCAAAAACAGCACGATATCCACAAGCTTCCCCATAACCTGTTATAGAGCATTATATCCACGTCTTCGTTAGAATTTTCAAATAGCAACTGACAATTTTACTTATTTCATCAAAATCGAATACGTGCAGGGCCCGAATAAATATCCGGGCTTGAGTTTCTCATTACATCCCTATAATCAAATGTTGCTTTTTCGTAAAAAAAGATTAACTGAGGGCAGATACAGATACAGTGTAAAAGGTAAAACGAGCAACTTGCAGAATAAGAAAAGATTTACGGTAAATTCGTGTTAGAAAAGAATAAATTTTCTTGAAACGAGGCAACGGAAAACGGTACCTCTTCCATACTTCTGGACCACAAAGACTTTTTCTTTAAGTTTTTCACTACTTTCCGTTGGCTTTTTATTTCCCCTAACAAAACGTTTACGCTGTTGTCCCTGTCTCCTATAAATAACGTAAATCAAGAAAATAACATTTAGCCTATTACGCGATTAGAAATTAAAAAATAGGGAAAAATCATAAAAGTCATATAAAAGTCGAATGATTACCTCTTTGCGAGGCATTGGATTTGAACTCCTCGAGACGCTTACGTTGATAATCTTGTTCAGATCTGTCGAGCGCATGCAGCTCTTGGTAAAGCTCCTGCAGCCAAAAAACATGTCGAATATTTTCATTGTTTATTTTTGGCAGCTTCTTTTTGAACAAATCACGAAACCCGAAACCCGAAAATAACAATAAAAATGAAATTATCGATCGTTTTTAAGACAAATGGACGATAAAGAAGGTAAAATACTAACAGCTGTAAGTTGAACAGAAGTCATGAGCTGCAGCATCACCGCTTCGGCTGTTTCCTTCAACTGCTTCTGAGGGGTTCTATCTCTGCTACGTCTAGAAACGAGAATCGTAGAAAACCGATAAAAAAAAAATTACTAACATAAAAAAAAAAAAAAAATAATAGATAAAGGTTCGGTAAGTTACTTCTCGAAGAAGCGGTCCAAGTTGTGCCACTGAGGATCTTTACATCGATTTCCGAACCGAACTACCTCTCCCGCAAAAACTTTCAGCTCCTCTCTGTGCACACAACAATAATAATTTAATAAATAAATAAAAACGACAACTTTAATCAAGAAAATAATAAAAAATTGCGAATTAAAGAAAAAAACTAGCAACCTTTTGTCGGAGGCAACTATGCTCAAAAGTTCGTCGGTGTCGTTTGAAATTAACAGCTGGACGTATTTAGCGGGAAGCACTACTTCTTTTAATTGCCTTATGCTTCGCATCGAAAGCGATTCCATAAGGTTTGATGCTTTCACAATTGTGTTGGCTACCTCAAAGGCTAAAATGGTAAGTTCACTGTTTTTGGTAGTCGAACCGGAAACGAATCCTCCGCCTTTTAAGTTCAAACTGGTGACACTAGTTCCGAGCGCGTCCAATACGTCTACCGCCCTTCCGAGTCCAGCACTACCAGCTCTTCCCAGAATCGAACCCACTTCCGAAACCTGATAAAAAAATATATATATATATTTTTTTCTAGAGAAATATATACTGGGCCGAACAATTCTAAATCGACTTTTTGGCGATTCTTGATTTTTGTTTTTGGCAGTATGGAACTGAATCATCTTCTCTTACATCCTTAACCACAATATCATCCCACGTGTTCTAAGTTCTAACGGATCATATTAAATCTATTACACATATTATCCGAGGGTTTGTGCCGAAGTTATATAAACCAAAACGACATGATTAAAAACAAATAAAAATTAATTAGGTAGATGCACATAACATTTAAACTTAGACATATTCTCTGATCATCGGATGCAACAACAACATCAAATAAGGCTCGGTTAAACGACAAAGATGCCATCTTTTTTCTACTTGTTATAATCTAGAACAATTCGCACTTGCCGCGTCATGTTCAATAAATTATCCTAGAAAATACCAATCCGCTAAAAATGATGGTGAATTGCGCGCCATGCAGTGGCGGAGACATCATAGAGTCAGAGGGGGCCAATGCCCCCCCCCCCCCCCCAAAACAATTCTCGAATCCCTATTTTTTATGTAAATATTAAAAAAAAATCGTGTATAATTAGCATGATTGGCCCCTGTCTCATAATTTTTTTAACGCATTCGACCCCCCGCAAACTTAAGATCCTGGCTCCGCTAGTGACAGCCATGAATCGGTAACAAACAAAAGAAATAAATTAGTAACTCTCTATCTCGACAGGTTTTTCACATTTTACGATCATGCACAATGCTAGAATACATACAGAAAAAATCCGGTCGAATAATGCGAATTCTCAACCTTGACCCTCATAAGTCAGAACAAATAAAATCAGAAAATTCAAGATGAATTTTTATAACAAGTGGAAAAAAAAAAAAACTAACCTTTGTGCCCCTATATGATCTAGATTTGAGGGTTAAACTCCTGCGATAGCGAGGAATTCCGTCGTAAAATTCATCGGTATCGCTGATATTTGAATACTGAGCAGACAATTTTGGTGATTCTTGAGCTACTGCAGTTGGCTTATCTATGGATTCTTGTACGGATGGTGGAGTTATTACAACCTTATTCATATCCCTCTGTTTCTTCTTCTTCCCTGAATTTGAATTTGATGTTGAACTCTGCTTTGAAGACCTCCCTCCCATTTTGATTTTTCTGTTTTTTTTTTTTCTTCAAAAGAAAAATTAAAATAAAAAAAAAGACCCAGAAATTTTAACATCAAATGATCACCCAAAAAAAAAAAAAATTAAAAAAAAAATGACTAACCAAAAAAAGAGGATTCTTGATTCTTGGATGAGAAGGGATTGTTGTCTGGGTAGTTGAGAGTTGAGAAATGACAAGTCTAAGAGGCGCGCTAAAGAAATCGATTATATATTTATTTTATTTTATTAATTAATATGTAATCAAGAAAATAAATTAATTAATTAATGGGAATTGGGAAGACGAGTCATAATATAGTAGTAATAGTGTGTTATTAGTTGTTGGCTGACTTGCAGAAACAATTTTTTTACCAGTGCAAGAATCTCGTACTGGATTGATTCTTGATGAAGAAGATGATTGTAATAAAAGAAAGTGATTATTTCTTATTTAAAAAAAAAAAAGTGGTTATTAATTATGTTTGTATTACGAACTTGTGTGTAATATTTGTTTTAACTTTTTCTACATGTTTTCTTTTGGTTGTTTTCAGTTATAAGGAAGGTGATTGGAAGATTGGAACGAGAATGGCTACCAAACCTGGTTTGACTTGGATTTAGTCCTAAAGTCAAACTTGGAAGGCATATCCAATTATTAGTGGAATAATCATGATAATAAGGGTTAATTACAACCAACCCCCTAATATTTGGCTTAATAAATTTAAGGTCCATCTTGTATTCACAAATCATAATTATAAACACTTTACCTAGAATTAATGGAATATTAGAAACCTTAACGTTAGGGGTAGTTAGTTGTAAATTACGAATATAGCAGGGACTTTAAATAATTTTAAAAAACCTTAAATCAAGTATGTTGTAATAATTTGAATTGAAACTTGGACAATTTTTATTTTTTTTAATTCATTACAAATTACAATCACCACTAGTGCATCAACAACTTAAAAAAAAAAGATTAGAAAAATAAATTTTAAATTATTCAAATAGAGTCAAAATATTACATTTACCTCATGTAGTATGATATAATAATTTTAAAATTCTTGTAGTTTTCTTAATTACAACCACACCCTCGCATCAGAATTTCTAACATTTCGTTAGTTTTAGGACAATGTTTATAATTACTAAACCTCATGCATCTTAAAGTTATTATGGTATATGTCAGGAAGTGACCGTAATTTACCCTAATAATAATAATCATAATAATAATAATGTTAAGGCAGCATCCCAATAAAATATCCATGATTTGCAAAAGTTCAACTGTAGTGTTATTGTTTTCAAATAATTGTTTGTATGTGCAATAATTTTAGCTCATATTTTGTATTTGAGCTAAAAATCCAAATATACTAAATGCACCGGCAATCGAATTTGAGCTCGTATTGAGAGCTTACCATTCGGCTAAGCTTAATTTAAATGTCGGATAAAATCTTACTTCTGATAAGTTATTACAAGAGTTGATAAATTGTTACGTCTTATTTTTAAAATTCAACTTTTTAAGTGTTTGAATAATGAGCTTATAAGCTATAATCATCTCAATCTTCTATTGCCTTCTTTATATCAATGGCAACAACATACTTGTTCAAAGAAGTTTCATCAGTTAATCAAGATTCATATACAAACATGAGGGAAATTAGAGATTATTGATAATTCTTTCAATACAAATATAATATAAATTGAGGTTTCAATTTATGCATATTTTATATACAACATACCAACTTACAGTTCTGAATGCATATCAGACGAATCACCGCTCTTCAAGTTTGGTGAATTTTTATCGACTTTATCAGGCAGTCTTGAAAGGATAAGCCGTGCTATGTTCTCAGCAGAAACAGCGCTCGTTTCCATGGAGCTAGCTGCATTCTCAAAAGCATTAACATAGTAAAGATGATTATTATCTAAAATGAAAGGAGCGTATCTTTCAGGTGCTTCGTAATGTGGATAAGCACCCCAGTTGATCTTGATCGTCTCCACTCGCGAGCTGTCAATCGATAAACAAATAAAGAAAACAAGAAATAATAAATAATAAAATTTTCATATTTGGTTTTTAATAATTTGTACAATATTGATGAAAAACAAAAAATGAAAAAAAAATTCGTAATCTGGGATTAAGATGGAATAGCTCGATAATCATTTAGATTATCAACAGGTATTGTTTTTTCAATATTTATAACTTTGTGATGTTTTTTCTTTATGAAGTAATTTTGATGAAACTAAAAATATTACTTATAGTTGGATTCTTAGTAAAAAGTTAAACCTTTTCTGTAACATTTTCAAATACGAAGCAGTTTAAACTTTAAACTAAATTCACCGGGGGATGAGTTTGAATAATTTTCTAGGCTGAGAGGTTTAGCTGTAATTACACCTAACCTCATGGGAGGTATGTGTAATTTACCTAAAGAATATATATATTATATATACGGAAGGCAGATTTGATTGTTCATTTTAGCTCACCAGTATCATGCAATAAACTCCCAAAAAAAGAAAATGAAAAGAAATTTTGGACCCTGCTTCACGTTCTCGTAGACGCATTGTAATAAAGTAGTAGTACCTGAAAATGTCATCCAGTAAGGCATCTGTCATAGGTTCACGGGAGAATATCTTGTAAGTCATATCTTTCTCATGTTGTTTAAGAATACTGATGCTCGAGAACGGTAGATCATCGGATTCTATGGTGCCCACCAATTCTGGAATATCCGATAACACTTTCAGACCAAAATACCCCTGATCAAAGCAAATTTGAAATATAAGAAAAAATCATTTGTCATATTAAAGACAGGATAGATTCGAGGATAACCGGTATACTCACAGGATTTAACAGGCCCCGAACAAAAGTTGCATGCGTGTGCTGTAGTTTTCTCGGAGGTATTGATATTCGAGGATTGAAAAGAATATCGAGTTCATCCAAGGGTGTTGCCACCACTGTGACTTGACAGCTGTAACTTTTTCCTTTCGTCGAGTTAAGCTCGTAGAAATCTCCCATGTAAGAGATGGACTCTATTTCTTCTTGAAGGTGCAAATCAACGTCTGAACGGTTAATTAATCCAGCAGCCATTTGCCAGTTTCCTCCTTCAACGGACCATAAACCACCGCCAGATCCAGCCAATGAAACTGCACCGGCGAGTCCACTCATGTTCACACTTTGTCCGTAGTTTATTCTCGTGATGACCTTCATAAGCAAGAGATTTTTTTACATTTGGTTGAAAATAAAAGTCAATATTTTGAGATAAAAGACAATTAAAAGTTAAAAGCCCCAAACAGATATCTTACTTCCGAACACCCTACTTCTGAGTTAATTTTGCATTCTTTTTTTTTCCGAGTGTTTTCCGTTTCCACTGATACCAAAACTTGCCGATTATAGGATTGTACTATAACAAGACAAAAAAGTGCACGCGAACTCTATAGACTATTAACTTTGACGCCATTTAATTTCCCTTTTTTTTATCGGGTGCAATATTTCAGGCCTGCAGGCAGCGACTTTCTGGCTAAAGATCTCATTAACAATACATATAAGTTACAGAAGCATGCTATTGGATTAGGCCATCTAATAATCACCATCACTTATGATTCAGTCACCATTGTTGGATGCTAAAAGTCGGTAATTTATACACGAGTATTTCTACTGTTCTACTTGAAGAAATAGTTCACGAATAAGTAGCAGATTAAAATGCTATCTGACAATGACACAAAAAGAGTATCAAAAGTATAAGTACAAAAATGATATTTTCAACCACAATCTTATTTAGTTCATTTCGTAAGTTCTGGTAGATGGATTCTTTAACTTCACCACAGGAAGGCCAGCATATTAATACTTCATGTCTCGACCGGAAAATTAGAGAGATTATTTAGGTTATCTGCTGAAACATCTCTGTCGTAACCAAGAAACATTATCATTCTCTAGAAACTGGTCGATACAATCTTTTATGTTTCCCCGTGCATGTGCTATGTCAGTGAAATATGAGATCGGCGAATTGCAACTGTTTTGCAAATTGCTTTGCTTGTTAATACTACGAAATTCTCTATCCACACGCAATCACATAACTAAAGATAAGTATCGCTACGTTATTTGGCTACATTTGAGATTCACTACACATAGACTTCAACGGTAAGAAAGTAAATGAAAACGACAAAATGAACACGGAAATGAAGCAGCAGAAATGTTAATATGTGCTCAAATACGAGGTATTATCATGCTGAAATAAAGGCACAGCTACATAAATCGCAAGTGGTTGACAATATTTAGGAGGAAAAAACAATGTTATTCATAATCGGAATGAAGAAACAAATGCCGTGCATACGGAAATAAGAAATAGTAATCATAGCAAGGGAGAAGGAGGATCTCACTGTAACAAGCTCTTGAATAAGTAAAGAGGACAATCCAGCTTCAACCAGTTCATCTCCTAGTGTTCTTGTTGTCAGATTGTACAGCCCGGCCCATTTAAGCATCCCCTCCACACTCTCAAACACGGGCCGGGCCTCAAAACCTTCATAATACCTCAAAAACTTATTGAGCATCACCTACAATTCATATACGTATACCATATCAACACAAAATCTATATATATATATATATATATATATATTGAAATCAGATAGCTGCTAATACTTTTGATGATTGACAATTTTCATAAAACCATGAACAGAAGAACACAAGAGCTGAGAAACCCTATGAAATCAGCTAAGTACCTCAACGAAGCTATCCATCCGGAGGAGAGAGAAGACGCCGTATCTCACTAACAATTTAATCGAATTGGCGATCGATACAAAGCGCTGGATAATTGGCAGCTTGGAGTTCGAATTCAGCGTCCTGTAGATGAATTTATGGCCGTCCCAAATGCCCAGGGAGAGAGAATCGTCGGCGTGGTTGGGTTTTTTCACTTGGAGGTTGAGGTAATCGGTGTAATTCGAGGCGTGGTAGTTTTTGGGGTGGAGAATGGAGCCGCCGGCCTCGAAAGTCTCGCCGGCGATGGTGACGGTGGCCATGCGGCCTCCGACGACGCCGTTTCGCTCGAAGATCGTTATCTGGCCGATTGACTGGGGGTCGTCGGAGTAGAGGCGGAGGAAGTGGGCGACGGAGGCGCCGCCGATTCCGCTGCCGATGATGCAGACTGTGTGGGGGTGGGGTTGTGCGTGTGAGGGATGTAGTAGGAATAGGATGCTGAAGAATACGAAGGGTGCGGTTTGACGATGGTGATTGTTCATTGAGGTGTGTGTGGTGGTAGTGGTAGTGGTGGTGGTGGTGGCGGCGGTGGCGGTGGCGGTGGTGAGAAGGGGGTGAAGGTTGACTTTGAGGTGTTAACTTTGAACTCGTCGGGATAATTAAAAAAATTACAAAATCTCTTCCACAAAAGAATTAAAAAAATCGAAAAATTCGAAAACCAAAATTTTGAAAATTGGGATTTTGACAAAACTTATTTCAAAATCGGATGTTTTTTTTATCGGAATATACAAAAAACAGAAATTTCATTATTTTACAAAAAACAGAATTATAATAATATCGATAGTATAAGTGTAATTTCTGAAAAATGAATATCATAATTTTCGGGTAAGATTGGACTCTCATATATATTCTAATTTCAATCTAAAGCAAATTGGGAAAACAAAATAGTACTCCGAAAATTGGATCGAAATCGACTGAGTTCGAAAACTCTATTACGACTTCCTGTACTCATTGCTAGGTAAAACTTATAAAGTTGGATAAATATTGAAATCATTTCTACATACAAAAATATTGTAAAAAGTTGCCGGTTCTGTTAAACAAAATCGTAAATATAAAAATAAAAATAAAAACGAAAAGAATATATGAAAGAGCAATATATGTTATTAAGTTTGGTTAACTACTGCTCCGTTGTTTTTAGGTGTTTGTAAAATTAAAATCGAAACTGAAAATTGAAACAACTTGACATTTTGCTTCTCTTAAAATAAGTTGTTTTAATCTATCTTTTTTAAAATACCCTTAGGCCTGTTCTTTTTTAATTGTTATTTAAATGCATTTTCCAGAATATTTGCAAACACTCCAAACTATTAGAAATAAACATTTAATACACACTTAACTCTCAATCTATAACTTCTGTTTTTTAATAAGTTTTTGCAAATACCATTAAGTGTTGTTCTACAATAATGAGAAAATATAAAAGGTTACAAATGGGGTAAATTTGTCAAATAAATATTCCTTTTCCCCCTAAAATCAAAACCATTTTAATAACTCTCTGAGTTTTCTTAATTAGTATGGACCTCAAACAACATTTAAAAAGAAAGGGATGGAGTAAATAGTATATTTATGACAAGTTAAGTGGAGATTCATAATAATTAGTTTTCTTACTGCAATAATCTTCAACTCTTTCTAAAGATTCTTTGCAAGTTTATTGTTGCAATTTGAAATTCATAAATAATTATTCCGCGAATCCAACAAGAACACATTTTACTCTCTCGAATTCGATCGAATAATCGCAACAAATAATTCGAACAAACCACCTCCCATCTTCTTTCATCAAGATTTACATGTGTATATATATATCTCTCTCTCCCATCCCTATAAACCTCTATACATCTACATCGTCTTCTACGAAACGCAATTCGGAGTCGAATTTCTCGGATAATTAATCCATCAAACAAATTTATATATAGATATGTATATATATATATATATAGATATATACCTCAAAACGGCATGCATGCTTTCGGATACCAACAACACCTCACATTCGAAAAACAGTGATCTATCTGATTCTTCAACAGCATTCTCCTAATAATATCGTCGCCCTGCTTCTGAAAATCCAACGAACCGGAAGAAACCGATCTCGACCGTCGAAAACATTCCGCCCCACGTCGGTCGTGGGCCCCACCATATTTCTCCACCACCTCAACATCCCACAAAACCTTATCCCTCGTCTTGCTCCGGTGAGGAACATCGTGCGTGATCGAATTCCTCCAGGGGGGGAGGCCCCCGTTGGGCCTCAAGAACTGGCCCCACAGGGACCTCAGCCTCACCTGCATCCCGTCCCTGTGTGGCTCCCACTCCGTGGCGGGATCGCCGCCTTGCTGGCAAGGGCGCGTCTGGACGACCCTTTTTCCGGTGACGCCCGGAAGAAAAGGCGTGCACGAGGCGGTTAGGTACGTGTTGAAGCAGCTTTTGAGACGGATGGCGTCTTTGCCGCCTTGCACGAATTCCACCTCCCAAACCGCGTTCGGGGCGGACTTGTCGCGGCCTTGGCTGATTGTCGACCGGTCTTCTTCGGCTATCAGGTATTTGTCCTTGTGGGTTATTAGCCTGATTGATTTTGCTTTCAAGAAAAGATCCATTCTCTTTTTTCTTTCTTTCTTTTTCTTTTTCTTGAATTAATTCAATGGTTGTATTATATGTAATTAATCTTTGCAATTGGGAATGTATGATGAGAAATGGTGGAAATTAAAGAATATGTAATTGGGATGGATGGATTATATTACAAGAAAGCCTTCACGTACGCATGCATGCATGCATACATGCATGCAGATTAATAATGGGGGTTTTCGATGATGAAGGCCAAGACTTGTGAAAGTGCTAATCTTGGAATATATGTTTAATTGTAAAGGTATTTTATTTATCCAAATGTTGTTTATAACGTGTGTGTTTCGTGTTGGTTTGTAGTACGCACATGTTTTTTTTTTTTAATGGTAGTTGGTTTGTATATTTTTTATTGTAAATTTCGGTGTAGATATCATATTTGCCTAGGTTGAGGATTGCCCTACATTTTTAGCCTATACTAATTGCTTGGAATAGTTTTAAGTGTTTGCATAACTTTTTGTAACTTTGTATGTATATGAAAAATGTTACCACTTGAAAAGTTTGAGCATGAAAACATCTCCCTCATGAGTGGTGAAATCCTGACTTCGCCACCGAATGTAGCGAGTGTATTTATATATATATATATATATATATATATATATATATATATATATATATATTTTAATAATATTTTTTTGTCCTAACTTATACACATTTTTTAATTTTCTTAATAAGTGCGCGACAAAAAAAAACGATATTTAAAATGGGATGGACCGACGGAGAGAGTAATATTTATTTCCAAATAACGATGCAACTCCAAAGCATGCTATGGTGCCAAGTGCATGGATTGTAGTAGTTATGCAACACAAAACTTGTGCCCATTCTTGATTTTGGCACTAATTCTAATTTTTTTCACCGTATTTAATTCCTCCTCCCACTAATTCCATTTTCTGTTGAATTTCACCAGCTAATCCAAAATTAATTAATCTCCCTACCCATTTTTATTTTCTTTTAATTAATTATTTAATTAGTATTTTTTATCCATGATATCCATTTTAATCATCATTCACCTTATAATTTCATTCATCAACCTTTCCACAGATGCCAAGGTCTTCATGGTTCTAATGGAGGATGACCCTCTTGTGATGATGTCACTAAGGTTCTAAATAATTAGTCTTGTTTTTTATTATTATTATTATTATTATTATTATTATTATTTATTTATTTATTTATCAATTTATTTATATAATTTTTCTCTCTCAATTTAGCAGTAGTAGTGAAGATACTGCAATGCACAAAGAGCGAATCGCACGCGACCACGACAACTTCATTAAAACGCGCCTCGGAGAAGGCTCCTACACCAAGTTGTATAGCTATACTCATTTGCTCAACGGCTTTGCAATTCACGCCGACGATGACCAGGTTATACGATTATATTCGATTTTATTGCATTTTATTATAAAAATTAGCAAAAAAAAACCCCTATGATGCAATTTTTTTTAGCAAACTACCTTTTACAAACTCACCAGAGCCTATTTTAGCAATTCGATATAACACAGGGGTACTAAATGCAATAAACTCGAAAACAGTATACTAAAACAACTGCATTAAACACTCACTTTGTTGTGTGTGTGTGTGTGTGTGTGTGTATATATATATATATCTCTTCAGGTGATCCATATGTTACGAGGTGCAGATAAAGTTAGATCCGTACACGAAGACACGAAAATGGAGAAGCAAACAACGCACACACCCGATTTTCTCGGGATTACGGACGGTGCGTGGCCAGCGTTGGGTGGGTCCACAGTTGCAGGCGACGAGGTTGTGATAGGCCTAATCGACACCGGAATAAACCCTTTCCATCCAAGCTTTATTACTCAAACATCGAATAATAATATATTATTCGATAAAAATAGCAAGTTCAAAGGAAAATGCATCACGGGGGAACAATTCCCACTATCGGCGTGCAACGGCAAGATAGTCGGCGCGCAGTATTTTGCTAGGGCAGCAATTGCTGCAGGGGAATTCAATTCCACGCGCCACTTTTCTTCTCCCTTCGATTCCGACGGTCACGGAAGGCAAGTGATCAATTAAACACGTGCATACATATCATTCGAAATAATCGTTAGTACGATAAATTAAATATAGTTTACGAGTATAGTGATAATGAAATTGGATTTAATAACAGTCATACAGCATCGACAGCAGCGGGAAATAACCATATTCAGGTGGTGGCCAACAACTTCAGTTATGGCTACGCAAGCGGCATGGCTCCGGGTGCAAGGTAATTAATTAATAATCGAATCGTCTCTAACTATTTTGTTGATATAAAATAAAAATAATTGTTTTGATTAAAGATATAGCGCGAAAAGTATTAACGTAGTCGTGCTTGTACAGGATTGCTGTGTACAAAGCTCTTTATCCTTTCGGAGGTTACATGTCCGATGTCGTGGCTGCAGTCGATCAGGTTATATATGTATATAGAACTTGGAGTGGTTATTCCCAATTATGGGTGGGAAATTGTAACAAAATATCCGATTTCCGCCTATTCCAATTCGATTTTTTCCAATTTTGCAACAATATTTTTCATCCCGAAAATCCAATTATTTCTGTTTTTTTTTATATATGAAGTGGAATATACATGAAATTCAGATTTCCAATCCGATTTTAATTTTCAAAAATAATACTGATTCTTTTTTTTTTCGAAAATCACACATTTAATATAAATATTATTCTGCAGTTTATACTTTTGGTGACTAAAGATTGGATTTTTTTTCCGAATTCCGCCGAATCCGATCCAAAAATTTCCGATTTCGAAACAAGTTTTTTCTTTCCAATTTCATAAATTCGATTTTTTCGATTATTTTTCAGAACATAATTGGAATTAATTTTTCACTTATGAAAAAAACCAGATTTGTTCCGAAAAGTGCTTATCCCGACCTGATTCCGTCCAATTTCTACCCCTATTCCCAATCAACATATACATTCTCATTTATTTTCTTTTCATGATTTTTTTTTTTCTTTTTTTTGGTGATATGAAGGCAGTAGAAGATGGAGTGGATATACTAAATCTATCGATAGGGCCAGCAAGCATACCTTCCGGGCCGTCAGCATTCCTAAACGTCTTAGAAATGGAACTCCTCTTCGCAACGAAAGCCGGCGTGCTCGTAGTACAAGCAGTCGGAAACGGGGGTCCCACACCAAGCTCAATCCTCTCATTCAGTCCATGGATTGTCAGTGTCGCATCCTCCACAACCGACCGAAAGTACAGCAATTCCCTCTTCCTAGGAAACGGACAACACCTGCCAGGCACCGGACTTGCACGTAAATAAAACAATATCAAAATTAATTCGAGCAACTACATAAAAAAAATAAAAAAAAAATTCATAATAATGAAAATGAGTTGATAATATATTGTGTGTGCAGCGCCGACGGTTGGAGGAGTGTACTTTCCGGTTGCAGCGGCGGCAGATGTTAGTGAAAGGAATGTTACGGTGGGCGTTATTGAAAGCTGTCAGAATGCAGATCCGTTCGTACGTGAATTGGCTCGAGGGAAGATAATTATATGCACGTACACGTTCGACTTCGATTCTGAGGCGGCTTCGATTTCTGCGGTTGTGGACACTATACATAAAATTGGTGCTGCCGGTTTTATACTAACGATGGATCCTGACTTGGGGTCTCACCAGATTAAAGGCTCCACTATTACTCTACCTGTGCCCGGAATCATTCTAAACAACATGGAATCCTCTTCGGTGCGTATACACACTCCTCGTTTTTCAAAGCTTCCTAATTCAATAGACGCACATATATAATGTCGTTAACTTTCGTCTACTTAACGAAACAACAGGCTCTTTGGGAATACTACAACTCGAACACGATAAGGGGCAGGAGCGGTGCCGCCATAGTATTCCGAGCAAGGGCGAGGATTCTAGACGGAAGGCAGGCTAGCTACAACGTGCAGGCGCCAGCTGTCGCCTCGTACTCCTCACGAGGCCCCGACCTGAACAACGCCCTTCTAGAAACCGCGGACGTGCTCAAGCCCACCATCATGGCGCCAGGCTCGTCAATATGGGCGGCATGGACAAAGCCCAACAGCCGAGGAGACGACTACACCAAATCCCAAACGTTCGCACTCCTCTCCGGGACAAGCATGGCCACACCGCACATAGCCGGCATCGCCGCCCTGATAAAGCAGAAGCACCGCCACTGGAGCCCGGCGGCAGTCGCCTCGGCGATGATGACAACGGCCGACCAAACCGACCACTCCGGCTCTCCGATCCTCGCACAGGGGAAAAACGGGCTGTTATCGCCCGCGACGCCGTTCGACTTCGGAGCGGGTTCGATCAATCCGTCTAAAGCCATCGATCCAGGCCTAGTGTTCGAAGCTTATTTCAAGAACTACGTAGAGTTCTTGTGTGCCGTTCCAGGGTTGGACGATAAGTCTGTCAGACGGGCGGTGGGAGTCGGGTGCCCCGACAAGAGGAAGGAGTGGTGCTCGGATTTGAACACTGCGAGTGTGACGGTTTCGAATTTGGTGGGGTCGAGGAAGGTTGTGAGGAGAGTGACTAATGTCGGTGGTTTTGATGAGAAGTATAGGGTGGTTGTTAGAGAGCCGGTCGGGGTTCGAGTTAGTGTTGAGCCTCAGGTTTTTACGATCAGTGTGAACGAGTCGACGCATATTACGGTTATGTTGCAGGCAACTCAGAGGACGAACCGATACACGTTTGGGGAGATGGTTTTAGAGGGGAGTAATAATCATGTCGTTCGAGTTCCTATTACTGTCTTTGTTAGCAGCTACCTAGGTTCTTGAAAATTTTCGATATAAACGGACAGTGGTTCCGAAATAGTTTTTAAGTTCCGGACTTTCGTTGCCTGTTGACTCTGTTCGGCGTACTTTCTTACCACGCAGCATCGAATAACTAGGAATGAATGTTGCTACATTATATGAATAGATTTGAGATTCACTACATAATATAAATATAAACTCTAAGCTGGTAATCTTAATTAGGCACTTATAACTATCATTAATTGTAATTAGGGAGAACAACAGAGCAAAATGACAGTGAAATTAATTTAACTTCAGCCTGCGGGAAGAAGGGGATTTGCTTCTTATACTTAGCTACAGCAATTGCACATAATTTCAAGAAATAAAGAATATATATGGGGACAACTATTTTGAATACTAGTTTTTTCTTAGTTGAATACCAAAAAAATAAAAAATAAATAATTAATTGTAAATTACTTTAATACCCTTAATGAAAATTAAAACCAAAAAATATTACAAATACTATTTTTCTTTCTTAAAAACCAAATAATCAAAAACCTAAAAAAAACATTTCCCTCCTCACTCACAAACCCCTCACCTCCTCCACCTCCTTCTTCTCCCTCCCCAAAAACCCTCCTAAAAAACCCCAAAACAAAAGAAATCAAAACCTTACACAACTTGCAAAATGGCCTCAAATGACAATAGAATGGTAGTTTACGAGCAAGGAGAACCCATTCAGGTATGTATTCATGTATTTTTTGAGCTAAAACATCGATTTTGAATTTTTTTTTTTTTAAAACTCGCCATGTATTTTCGACACATACAGGTCGAAAATACCCTTATTTTTCGACACTTAAGTGTCGAAAATATGGGTAATTTTCGACACTTTAGTGTCGATTTTGTTCCTGTTGCAAATTTACTTGTCTTATATTTTCGACACTTTTGTGTAGATCGATTGCACCCATTCATTTACCACGTCAGAAAAATTCCCAACAAAAGAAGCTTTAATGGCATGGGTTCGTGAAGTATGTAAAAGAATTGGAATGGTGTTAATGATTGGGGGTTCGAGTGACGGGGATAGAGGACGTAGGACACCGTATGTGATTGTTCGTTGTGAGCGTGGGGGCCATTATGTTGGCAAGAAGGTACCAGGTGAAGATGATCAAAGACCGGGAAAAAGGAGCACCGGTTCAAAGAAATGCAATTGTCCGTTTAAATTGAAGGGGACAAGAGAACACAAGGATGATGAAAAGGCTGAGTGGAAATTGGATGTTAGTTGTGGTATTCACAACCACAACTTATTCGAAAACTTGCACGGACACTCTTATGCCGGAAGATTATCAAAGGAGGATGTTTCCTTTGTTCACACTATGAAGAAAGCAATGGTGAAACCAAGGGCAATTCTAAGAGCATTGAAGCAAAAGGACCCGTCTAATGTAACTGGTATGAAGACAGTTTACAATACTATCTCTAAGTTAAATTTCAGTGAATTGGATGGGAGATCTCAATTGCAATCATTGTTTGTCAAGTTGAAAGAAGATGAATACCTCTCGTACCATAGATCGAACGAGTTGAATGCGATTACCGACTTGTTTTGGATCCACCCGAAATGCATTAAGTTGGCACAGTCGTATCCGTACGTATTCGTCATCGATTGCACGTACAAGACCAATCGTTACGGACTCCCATTTCTTGAGATTGTGGGTTTTACTTGTACCAACAAGACGTTCTCAATTGCCTTTGCTTACTTGGACCACGAAAAGACGGAAAATTTTGAATGGGCGTTGCGTTGTTTGAAGGAGGCCATGACCAGTTGTCATCGGCCTAATTGCATTGTAACAGATCGAGATTTGGGTTTAATGAAAGCAGTGGCCAATGTGTATCCATCGAGTCATCACTTGCTGTGTCGGTGGCATGTGAACAAGAATATAGTGGCCAATTGTAAGAAATTGTTCCCAAAGGACATCACCAAATGGAAGCAATTTCAGTCGAGTTTTTCGGCTCTTATTGAAAGAAATACCATAGAGGAGTTCAATGAGGATTGGGAGGATTTGAAAAGAACATTTATGGGTTATCTCCCGGCTATAGAGTATGTAGCCAATTCATGGTTGGATCCGTACAAGGAGAGACTTGTATCGGTGTGGACAAATAAGTATACTCATTTTGGAACGTACACTTCTAATAGGGTGGAGGGGGCACACGGACGAATGAAAAGGGATGTGCGTAATTCAACTGGCACATTTGTGGATTTGTATACGAAAGTCCACAATCAAATTGTCGAACAACACAATGACATCAAGGCTTCCTTTGAAGTAAGTAAAAATACTTACGAGCACACTTTCAAAACGTTGATATACAATGAGCTTCGTGGAAGTATCTCAAAATACGCTCTGCAACTACTCAAAGTTGAGGTGGACAATGCGAAACTATTGCAACCGAGCGATATGGGTTGTAGTTGCGCCATCCGAACAACCCACAGTCTACCATGTCGCCATGAACTTCATGAGTATGTTGTTGTGAACAAATGTCCTATCCCACTTGAGTTAATAGGCTCGTATTGGAAACACATGAGTATGGAGCCCGTCGCGACCACAGGCCAAGTCATCCTACCAACCATCGACGAAGAATTATCGGAATACCAGAAGCTCTTTGAATGTGCCGATCTCGATGCAAAAACTCGATTGCGCAACCATTTGAGACATTTTACCCACCCAGAGAATACTAACCTTACGGAGCCAAGTGAAAAAGTTGTTAGCAAAGGTCGACCGGCAAAAAGTAGGAAAGACAAATCAAGCACTCGGGACAAATCACATTTTGAGTATGTGGAGCCAAAGAAAAAAAAATCGAAGCAAGCTAGTTGTTCTCCAAAGGTAAATGTCGCTACTATCGTCTCATTTCATTGAAGTTGCATTTTATAATTGTGCTGAGTAATGAAGTGTAATATACTGCAGCTTATACCTGTACCGATGAGATTCAACGGGAAGCAGGTATATATGGTCTAGAGTTAGCTGTGTGACTGGCCGTCTGGGAACCACTTTAAATCCTTCCCCCC